GGAAGAGCAAAAATGTCCTCAACAGTAAGAAGACACCCTGGTCCTAGAGCCAGGGCTTGGGGCAGCCTGCGGTCCTGGCAGAGAGCTGGTGGAAGGGACCACAGGGACATGATGCCGCACACAGCAGTGAGACCAATGAGATCGTGGGAACTGCCAGGACAAGCGCTGACATCAAGGAAGTTTGGGAGGCAGGGGACAGCTGGGAAGGGACAACCAGGAGAACCAGCTGGAAACTGAAAAGAGATGCAAGGGAGAAACAGGAGGGAGCGCTGAGCTCAGATGGCGGAGGAGAAGGGGAGACAGGATAGAGAGAGGCAGAAGATGGTACAAAAACAGAGGCGGAGAGACTGAGAAACAGGGAGACAGAGACGGATGGAGGCTAGGAGAGACAAAGAGGAGCCAGGCCTGGGCGGGAGAGGTCCTACGTGGGGAGAAAAGGTGTAGAGGAGAGCAGGAAGGAGAGAGGAGCGCAGCCGTGTGGGAGGTTCCGACCGGGCCCAGCCCACCCCTCTGGCAGGCGGGGTCCCTCCCTTTTCTGCCTCTCAAGGAGCTCAGGATCCCCTCCCCCAGGGCTAGGGGCGGAGAGCTCGCCTCCAGCCCCGCCCTAGTCCAGAGGCTCCCCCTCCCCAGGCCCTCGGAGGCGGCCCCTGGGGGCTGGCTGTGCAGCGATAGACGGCGGGGGCCCAGCTGGTGCGTTATCAGCCTTCTCCAGGAGCGCGCTCGAGCCACTCCGTGGCTGCCAGGCTGAGATTAGGCCCCCGGAGGGTCATTAAGCGCTGCCCTGGCCCGGGCCCAGCCTCCTTTCCCTCCCCGATCTGGCCAGGCTGGCAGGTGGAAATGAGTGATAAGGATTGGGGGTCTCAGCGGTTCTGAGGCCCGCAGCTCCCTGCTCTCAGCACCCGCCCCCCGGCCCCCTCCCCGTCAGAGAAGGAACAAGGGGTAAGGGTGAGGGGCGGTAAGGTCAGTGCTGGCCCAGCCCTTGCAGGAGCCCCCAGGGGTCCTGCTGTCCTAGACCTGCCCATATTGACCAAGACAGAATGAGAAGGGGGCCAAGGAGGCTCTTAGAGAGGCCCCAGACAGCTCCTGGGGAGCTCGGTGAGTCCAGGCAGAAGCAGACTTCTCCTGGCAAAAGCTCACAGGTGTGAGGGGCTGGGCTCCACTTGCTGCAGGGAGACAGGGATGGTGGCTCTGCCTTCCCACCCTGGCAGGCTCGAACCCACTCCCACCACCCAGGGACAACTGAGGACAGAATTGGGAGGAAATGTGGCCTCTGCAAGGACAATCAGATCTGGCAGCCAGAAGCTTCCCTCCAGGAGGTGGGAAAGGAAGAGCGGGCTGTTTGTGCCTTAGTAGAGGCCTGACCCTCTAGGAACCTCTGTCTCCTTCAGTGAGTGGAGAAGCCAGGCTGGCTGGTGGCCTGGCTTTGCCTTCTGGTCTAATCAAGAAAGACTTCCCAGAAGAAGAGAAACCTTGATTGGGTCAAGAAAAAAGAATGGGCAGTGTTTAAACTGGCAGCGGTGGGATGAAAAGGCATAAGTCACAGAAAGTCAGGTAAGCAAAAGCCTAGAGTAGAAATCACAAGCCACAGTTCATTAATCTGAATCCCAGAGATGGGAGGTGACTTATATCAAGACACACAGAAAGGCAGGGATAGGCCTGGAGCAAAGATGCTACTTCTCCCATCTCCAGGCCTCTTCCCTCTGCTGTAGGCTGCATCCTAAACCCCAGTCAGGGGAGGAGGATAGTTCCCATTTAAGACGAGTCTTCCTCAGTGGTACTTGGTGAAGCCTTGGAACGATGAGATCTATGAGTTTGTGTCCTTTGTAGGGACATGGATGAATCTGGAAACCATCATCCTCAGCAAACTGACAGAAGAACAGAAAATCAAATACTGTATGTTCTCACTCATAGGCGGGTGTTGAAAAATGAGAACACATGGACACAGGAAGGGGAGCATCTCACACAGGGGTCTGTTGGGGGGAAATGGGGGAGGGACAGCGGGGGGTGGGGAGTTGGGGAGAGAGAACATGGGGAGAAATGCCAGATACAGGTGAAGGGGAGGAAGGCAGCACATCACACTGCCATGTGTGTACCTATGCAACAATCTTGCATGTTCTTCACATGTACCCCAAAACCTAAAATGCAATTTAAAAAATAAAAATAATTTTAAAAAAAGAATGGCCATAGGGAGATCTATGTGCAGTAAGAAGCCATGGGGCAGTACAGTGAGGTTCCTCTGATGAAATTATGACCAGGTGGGCACAAGTTAGTGCTGAATATGACAAGAGACCCTGGCCTGCAACATCAGGGGAGGACATGAAGAAGGGATTCTTTGAGGGAGCAAGCGAAAACCTACCAAAGCGTAAACAACTTGAAGCCAATAGGCTGTCCCTTAAAAATGAGGGACCCTGGCCGGGCTCGGTGGCTCGTGTCTGTGATCTCAGCACTTTGGGAGGCTGAGGTGGGTGGATCACAAGGTCGGGAGATTGAGACCAGCCTGGCCAACATAGTGAAACCCCATCTCTACTAAAAATACAAAAAATTAGCCAGGCATGGTAGTGGGCTCCTATAATCCCAGCTACTCTGGAGGCTGAGGCAGGAGAATCGCTTGAACCAGGGAGGCGGGGGTTGCACTGAGCCAAGATAGCATCACTGCACCCCAAGCAAAACATAAAAAGAACACAAAGAAAAAAGAGTACTTAAATGAAGTTATGAAGATGTGACTGGATTCGTGGAATACCTAAGACAGATTCACAGATGGGTCACAATTATAGCAACAGACAGTGAGGAAGTAAGGAAAGAAACTGTAGTTGCTTTAAAGAAAGACAGTAGACCGGAAAGAAGAAGATTAAAAAGACAAGCAGCAAAGAAAAACGTGGTGATGTGTTTCCTTTGTAGAAAACCCGGTCCTGGAATTGCAGATTGTCCTGCCGCCCGTGACAGTCAAGATATGGACACTGGAATATGTGACAGGTGTGAGTCCACAGAGCACGAAATAAGCAAGGGAAAGGCTAAAGCAGACCCGGCTCTTGGCAAATGTCCTTTTGCAAAACATTTTGTTTGTGGAGAAATGGAGCACCTGTCTAGATCTTGTCCAGGTAATCCCAAAGGACTCTATGCTGGTGCAAACCTTGTGGCTCTCTGGGACATTTAAAGAAAGATTGCCCTGAAAGTCAAAATTCAGATCCAATGGTCACAGTTGGTCGCTGGGCAAAGGGAATGAGTGCAGACTATGAAGAAATTTTGGATGCACCTAAACTGCAAAAACCTAAAACAAAAATACCCAAAGTTGTTACTTGTTGGTAACAACTAGCACCATTATTAGTTACCACCTCATTGCTGCTTTCTAAAGCAACCGCACTTCACAGGTTAGAGTGGGGCTCCCTGATGGCCAGGATGACACTGTAGATATATCAGGATGATTCGGGTGTGGTCAAAAACAATTCACCTTATTCTGTCCATCAAATAGTACTTCTACTGCTGTTTGAGGAAAACTGAAGGGAAGAAGAAGATGATGAAATGGATTCTCTAAAAGAACATATTTTAAGAGACAGAACTTAGGCGTAACTAAGTGATTGTATACCTGATTGTAACAATCATCTTTTATAAAAGCAAAATTATGCATAAATGTGAAACACCCCTAACCAAAGGATACAAATGAATTTTTGGCTATATTGTTTTCTTGGCTCAAAGTATCAGTTTATTATTATAATAGAAATGTATAGGTTACTAGAAAGTCTGTATTTGAAAAATATGGAATAAAAATGCATTTTCTAAAAAAAAAAAAAAAAAAAAAGAATGTCCATGACATGAGGCTGTAACAGGCTGAGACAAGCAGCAGAGGGAGAGCTTTGGGACAAGGTGGGCCACCTCCCACCCTCTGGCCCCACATCTCTGGATCTGGGAATTCTCCTAGGTGAGCCTGTCTCAGGTTATCATCCCAAATAGAGACAGAAGCTGTTCCCATAAGGCCAACAGTCACAGAGGTGAGGGGCCTCCAGGTTCAGCCAGCCAGGCAAGGCATGCCTCCCCTCTCTCCCTCTCCTAGAGGACCCAGTTTTCTGATCCTCCTGCCCCGCCCCCACTCCCACCCCAGGACTGGGCGTTGGGCAGGGCAGGCATAGGCGAGGACTGGGCTCTCCTCCAGCTCTGCGGTGAGACTAGCCAAATCTTCCCCCAAGAGAAAGCTCAGCTCAGAGAGGACACCAGCTTTCCAAAGCTAACACAGCAAGTTGGCAGAGGACCCAGGACTCAGATCTGGGCTTCCTAATTCTCAACCCAAGATTTCTTCCTGACACTTCCTATGCCAAAGCCCAGCACGGAGGGGATATGGAAGGGAGACAGAGCTAGATCTGTGTGAACCCACTGTGATGCCTCCAGCAGAGGCAGAGGGTGAGTGGGGCTGTGCAAGGAAAAGCCCAGAGTCTCAGGGATAAGGGGGAGGAAGGGGTGCTTCAGGGGTGGGGACTTGCAGGAACAGCGCTACCTGGAGCAAGGGTAGAGGGGATGAGCTCCCCAGCCCAGGGGCCTCCGACAGCCTCTTCCTTCCCTACATACATGAAACTGATGAGCACTAGAGGCACGCAGCTCACATCAGGGTCTGCCCAGGGAAGGGTGCCCCCCCCGGGTGCCCCGGGGAAGGGCAGACCCTGATGTGAGCTGGGGTGCCCCTAGTGCTCATCAGCCTTACCTGGCTGCTCTGGTCGAAGAAAGGGTTTGGCCTGAGGGGACAAGAACCATCCCACTGGCAGCAATGGGCTCAGCTGTCCGAGTCCTCCCACATGTCATCAGACATTCCCATTCGAGGTAGCTTCACTCTCAAAACACCAGAAAAGACACCAAATCTCTCTTACCCTCACCCTAGACACAGACTCTCAGTACGTTTCCAGCCTGGGCCCCCTCGGTCCAGCTACCCTGTGGGCACAGGGGCTTCCTGAAAAATCTCCCAAAACCACTGTGACAGAGTCAGAAGGCAATTATCATGATTCAGAAAGCAAGACGGGGACTCACTGGAAGCCTGAGGGGCCACTGCTTGAGCCTCAGCCCCAGAAATACAAAAAGTCTTTATTTCACAGAAATAAGGGCCATTTCCACAGTTATGGGGAAGGACATGTGAGAGGACAGGAGGTGCTGAGCTGACTGTCCTCTTCAGAAGGCTCTCCTGAGCCGAATGGGAGACGCCAGACACAGCCCAGCCTCAGCCTAGACACGGTCTGAGCTCCAGCCTTGACTGGCTGTACTTCAAGGGAGGGTAGGGCTGGCGTGGGGTTGGAGGGAGTTGGCCCGCTATTGCAGATTCCACCAAGAGAAGGAGGGGGCGTAGGTGGTAGCACTGGGCATCCATCCCAGGTGCCTGGAAGTCTTGGGGTTGGGGCCACAGGCAAGGTTACATCGGGGTGCTTCGGACCTTGCCTTCCTCCTCGGGAACATTCTCGTAGGCAGTCTCATGCTCACTGGACCTGAAAGAAGAAGGCATGGGCCTGGTGGCTCATCACTCCTCCCATTCTATCCCCCTCCCTACCCCATCCTGCACTCGTGATGGTAATAGCTTCCATGATAAACACTTGACTCCCAGAAGGGGATTCTCCTGACCACAACTGGGCTTATGCACCCGAGACTGGAGGCCTCTCAGCATCCCCTCCCTACACCTATCTCCCTCCCACTGTGGGCTGCTCACCACTGGGTCCCTACTGAGCCCACCCCCGCCAAGCCCATCCTCCACCAAGCCCATCCCCACTGAACCCATCCCCCACTAAGCTCCATCCACCACTAAGCTCCAGCCCTCCACTAAGCTCCAGCCCTCTACTGAGCTCCGTCCCCCACTGAGCTCCATCCCCCACTGAGCTCCATCCCCCCCCACTGAGCTCTATCCCCCCCCTGAGCTCCATCCCCCACTGAGCTCCATCTCCCACCTAAGCTCCATCCCCAACTGAACACATCCCCCACTGAGTCCATCCCCTCCTGGAGCCCCTGCCCCACATAGAGGCTGCATTTCCCCCACAGAGCCCTACAATCCTCACAAAGCCCCATTGTCTCAGTAGCCTTTGCCCATGTGAGTCCCCATCCTCACCCACCACCTCCCCCTACAGCACCCGTCTTGAGGTTCTCTTCGGCCCTGGGAGCGCAGGGCGGGTAGCCCTGCACCGCACCGCACCTGAAGTTGGCCGCCGTCGAGGAGTACCTTCCATCCGTTCCCGCCAGGACTCCATCTGCCTTGTTTCCCACCATCAGGACCATGTGCGCAGGCTCCCTGGGGACGGAGCTCATCAGTGGTGCTCCTCAGGGGGGCCCCCCTCTTCCAAGTAGACAGTATTCTGGGTCCTCGTTCTCACAAGTCCAAAGAGCAGCTGTGTCCAGCAGGGCCTGTCAGCCACTGCTTCTGGTCCCACCCGTGGGGCCTCACACTTTCTCCCCACTCCATGGTGGGAGGCCAAATATTTGCAAAAGACTTATCCTGAGTCCAAGGCCTCTCTGTGTCCCAGCTGCCCTCAGCTCAGCCTCCAGCAGGCTCTGCAGGATACACTATCTGCCCCAAATTTCCCCAGATCGTGCCTTGAGCAGTGGACACAGACATGGTTGGTGGCCCTTCAGGCAGAGCTGGGTCTGGTGGAGAAAGCCCAGCTGAAGACCTTCCAACAAAAAGCCCCTCGTCTCTTACTCAAGTTTAAACCCCACCAGTGTGGGCTCTCCCTGAAGCCTCCCAGAAGCTGCTCCCATGAGGGTCACAGGGGCCCCAACACCCGCTCACTTCCTTAGACATCCCACAGGCACCCCAGACTTAATATGTCCCCAGTTAGACTCAGCAGCTGCCCCTACATCTGCTCGTCCTCCTGTGCTCTGGGCCCAGTGGGCGATCCCGGGTGAGAAACCCAGCCACCATCCCTGCCTTCCTCCCCTCTCGCCTGCTGCTGTCTCTGACCACCAACTCCCAGGGTGCCCACCTCCTAGCCAGTGCTCAGAACCCTCTCTTCTTTCCATCCTCTCTGCCACCTCTACGGTCCAGACCCCCTCCTGACCTCACGCTTGCCCCTCGCTGCTCTCTAGGTCTGCAGACTGGAGACTCCCCCACCGCTGCCGTGCATACGCCATGAGGCAGCCAGGGTCACTCTGCTAAGGCCGTAGCTCATCCTGAAACTGGCTTAAAAACTCTCACCAGAGGCAGGGCACAGTGGCTCATGCCTGTAATCCCAGCACTTTGGGAGGTAGGTGGATCATGAGGTCAGGAGTTTGAGATCAGCCTGACCAACGTGGTGAAACCCTGTCTCCATTAAAAATACAAAAATTAGCCGGGTATGGTGGCAGGCAGCTGTAATCTCAGCTACTCAGGAGGCTGAGGCAGGAGAATCACTTGAACCCAGGAGGTGGAGGTTGCAGTGAGCCTAGATTGTGCCACTACACTCCAGCCTGGGCAACAGAGTGAGACTCTGTCTTTAAAAACAAAAAACAACTTGTGACTGGATTCCTACTCACTAAGGTAAAGCCCAAAAGCCCGAAGTGCAGGTCATTGGTATGCAAGATCCTGGCTGGTCTGGGTCTGCCCCTCACCAGCCTCATCACGGGTGTCTCCATCCCCTTCTCCACTCACTGAGCCACTGGGGTTTCCTCCACAGCCTTGCATGGAGCTAGCACCCAAGCCACCCGGCCACCTTTGTGAGAGCTGGGGGAAAATGTCCCTGGGTACAGAGGCAGCCTTGCCTGAGGGTCCTGATCTGGTGAGTGCAGAGTGGGCTGGATTTCAGCTCACCCACTCTTCACCTGTGTGCGTCTGTATCCAGCAGCCCTGGTGCCCTGCCCCTAACTCAGGACCTGGTGTACCCTTCCCTCCACCGCAGCACGCTTGATGCTACTCTACCCTGATAGCTACTCCTCCTCATTCTTCAGGTTTCAGGATAAATGTGCAGTAGGGAAGCCTTCTCTGGCCACCTGACCCAGGTCGGGCCCTGCAGTGTCCTCTGCGCTCTCCCTCAGCGGCAGCTCTTGAACTCTGACAGGTCACTCCAGTCTGTGAGCTTGTGAGGGCAGGAGGCGTGTCTGTCCCACGGCCCCTCCCCCGCTGCACCGCAGCTGACCCTGCAGAAGGAGGAATCCCCCCTTCCAGAGGTTCTCACAGTGCCCATCACAGGCTGGGCTGCTATCCTGGCTCTACAGAAACACCAAGACTTCAAGAAGAGAGGCCGTTTTCCCAGAGCTCACAGGGAGTGGGCCCCAGAGCCGGAGGGGGTGCCACAGAGCCCAGGTCTGGAAGCCAGCAAGCTGGGGCTCTCATTCGGACCATCACCAGCCTACCCTGTGACCTTGAGCCTCAGTTTCCCTTCCACACAGGGGAGGATTGGACACAGGGTTTCTGAGGCCCTTTCTCGCCGCTGCTAGAGCAAGAGCAGTGGTCCTGGGCCCACCCTGCCCGCTCCGGGGCCCTCAGGCAGTACTCACGGCTCTTCCTGGCACCAGAAGTGGTTGATTGCAAAGGCGATTGCAACGAGGACCAGGAACACGGCCACTGCAATGAGGCCCTGCATCCAGGGCTGAAGCTTCCCCAGGCCTAAAACGGGGAAGGGGACTGTAGCAGACGGGGCCACAGTGGTGCCCGCAGTGGGGACTCACTTCCCAAGCACCCCACCTGTGCTGAAGGCCCTCAGCCAGCTGCCAGGACCAAGGAGACATTCTGGGGAGGCACACGGCCCCTCTGACCCGCTTTGACATCTTGAGCTCCACTTAGCTCAGGCAAAGGAAAGAGTTGGAGGAATAGCAGAGGCTCGGAGAGGAGGGAGTTGGAAGGAGAGAGGAGTCCAGGAGGGAACAGGCCTCAGAGTGCTGTATCTGACGTCTAGGCGGCCCAGAGACTTTTCTCCTCCAGGCAGGTCACAGGCCAGGGCCCCTCAGAAACCAGCTCGTAGGGAGACTCCCAGATAGCACAACGGAGTGGATCTATCCGCGGACCAACAGCCTGAGAGCCTGTGGGGCTGACAGCTTTCCAGAGTGAAGGCCCTGAGCAGATGTCCATCCATGGATTTATTTACCCTTTGACGGGTGATTCTCATTAATACACAGGTATTCGACATATACATATAACAAGAATATACCAAGTAGGCAGCTGTTACCCGCCTACCACTAAGTATAAACTAAAAGTATCTTCCACAAGGGAAGCATGGGGGCAGGTAAACTTAATGTTCCTCAACACCCCAGGGAGTGCCTGGGCCCCAGGGACCAAAGGGCAGCCCCCTGGACAGCTGGCCTAGGCCTTGCAGCTGGGCGTGGCTCCCAGAAAGCTGAGGAGGACCCAGAACTGACATGACTGGTCTGACGTCTGGAAGATCCTGTTCTGCAGCAAGAGGTTTCTCTGATGGTAGGAAGGGTATGTGAGTGGAGACAGCAGGCTACTCGGCTGGGGCATCTGGGGTGCCTGGGGTACCCAGAGAGAGGAGTGGACTGGGACATCTTTAGAGGCAGGACCGAGGGGTAAGCTCTTCTCTGGGTCTTGGGGGCCAGGAAAGAAGCCTCAAAACCTGAACCCTTTTTGTTCCCCCAGCTGGGTGCCCAGGGACTAGGGCCAGAGATTAGGTCAAGGCCCAACCATGCACCCTTCTCTGCTTTTTTTTATTTTTTAATAGAGACAGGGTCTTACTATGTTGCCCAGGCTGGTCTCACACTTCTCAGCTCAGGCAGTCCTTCTGCCTCAGCCTCCCAAAATGCTGGGATTACAGGCATGAGCCGCTGTACCCGGCCCTTCTCTGCTTTTTGACACTTGACACCAGCACAGACCATCAAGATTTCCCTGATGTCCCTGCCCTCAGGCCACTGCTGCCCCAAAGGACTTTCCTCTTCCCTGACATCACTGCACTCCATGAGCCTGAGGGAGCTCAGCCCTGCAGAGAAAAGACCCTTGTCGGGGAGAGGTCCCAGGACAAAACACAGGTCAGCAGGAGCCTTCAGAGGGGCCCCATCTCCAGGCCAGAATACTTGCATCCCTATATTTTAAGGGACCCAGACTGGGCATCAGAAACCTTACTCTGGCTCACTCCCACTCAGAAATCCTCCTTTGAGTCTACCAAAAGCCCTCCTGCTGCAGTGGAGATCCGACCTTTTCTCTGAGCCTGGCAGATACTGGGAAGAAGGAAGGAGGCTAGGAACTCTCTGGCCCATGGCAAGGTCAGACCTCACTTATCTCCAGGGGAAGTGGAAGACACAGTGTGGTTACCCTCAGTTCCACACCTGCCAAACAGCAGTGTTTGGGAGTCACTGTTTCCCTGGGGATTCAGACTGCTTCCTCAGGTCGGTGGTTGCTCAAGCTTGGAGAGTTAGGGCTTAGCCCTCAGAGGCCTCTCCCTGTTTCCTCCTAGACCCTGCAGCTGATTCCCTCCAGTCAACTCAGGGACCACAGGCCCTGCACCCCCTCCATGTGGGGTTAGCACATACAGCAAGAGGCAGCGCCTGGGGCAGGAGAAAGTTGGTCTGAGCCCTGTCCTTTCTTGCCCTGCTGTGTAACTCATGTGAGTTACTCAACCTCTCTGGTCTGCTGTTCCCCAGAGGGCTTCCAAGACCTGGAAGACAGAGTTGAAGCAGACACACATGAGAGCTCAAGGTAGGGTGGGAGGGGAGCTCTGGAAGCATCTTTGCCAGCCCCCTCTGGACCAAATCCCACCTGCAGAGTCCCCAGATTTTGGCTGCAGACGCAGCCTGAGAGTGTAGAATGAAAGCCGCAGCTTGTGTGTGTTGCTTCTCCAGGTGCAAAGCCCTCCCACACCCCTGACCTGGCAGCAGCCCCAGGAGGCGGGCAGGGTGGGGTCTATTGCTTTCATTTGGTGGGTGAGAAAGCTGAGTGTCAGAAAGGGGCAGTGATTTGCTCAAGGTCACACATCAATTCAGGCAGAGCAGGATGAAGAGCTCAGATATTTGGGGCAGTCATACTGGGCACTGTTCCCTACCCAAGTCCAAAAAGCCGAGACAATTAGGACTTGGGTTAAAGCCATGGACAAAGCCCTGGCAGAACTGCTCCTCCCCTGGAGCAAGCCCACCTTCGAGGGGTGCTTGGGCCCCACTCTCCCACTCCTTGTATCCCTGGCCGCCCGGTACTCAGGGCCCAGCCATCCCCGGGGCAATGCCTACTCTTGGGGCTTGGGCCTCAAATCCTGCTCCTCCCCCAGATCCTAGAACCAACATTTCCCTGCCGCTCCCACTTTTCACTGGTTGAAAACAAGTGGCAGGCAGAGACTTGGTTCAGACGTCTCTGCCTTGGGACGATCTTTCAGCTAGCGCAGTCCCTGATCCCCCTCCAAACTGTAAGTATCAAGTCCTGGGGAGAGAGGCCGGAACACTGCCCCATCCAGCCCTGGGTCTCCCGTGCCCAGCCCTCTCCTTCTGCGCTACCTTGCTGACAGCTGGCAGGTGGCACTGCCATGAGCAGGCCCAGAATGAGCAGGCTGAGGGCTGACATGGCTGCAGCAGCTCCGAGCCTTGCTTCCGGCCGCCGGTGTCTGGACTCCTGGAGCTGCTGTGGGGTCTGTTGGTGTCCGCCTGAAATCAACCTGGGCTCAGTCTGGTCCTGGAGGAGAGGAGCTAGGAAGGAGGAAGGCGAGGGTGGGAGGAGAAATGAAGACAGCTGGCAGAAAGAACCTGCCCTCCCTCCCGTGGTAATGAGCAGCCAAGCTGGGCCTCCCCCGGCCGGCGCCCAGCCCACTTGCACTGGCATTCGAGGTCATCTTCCCAGGACCAGCGAAGGAGGTGGGTATTAGCAACAAGCAGACGTGGGCGAGTCCCAGCCTCATCTCCACGCCCTGCGCTCCCTTTTCCTGGCAGTGGAGCCAGGCTCCAGGGAAAGGGGTGCCACACAGCCGCTCCTGCCTTGACGGAGCCCAGTGGGCGGGGCTTCTTGGAAGGCTGACAATGGGATTAAGAAATGTGCTGGCTGGTTCTGGAGCCTGGGGAAAACCCCAGAAGCCCAGAGAAGGCTCAAAGCTGCCAGACTCCCTGCAGAGCCTGGCCTGTTTCCTGTTCTCCCCCTCACCTGCCCCTGCCCCACCAAGCCAAACCCTGGGACTCCAATGCTGGGACACACCACAGCTTCAGTGCCTTCCGCCCCCGGCCCAGCCCAGTAGCTTCCTAAATCCACCCCCTCCTGCAGAGATCTCAGTAGAGGGCCCGAAGGTCCCAGTTCCCAGCTTTCATACCCCATGCCCAAGCCCCGACCCAGCCCAGCCGACCTAGGCCCAGTTCAGCTCTTCCTCCTGGCCCCAGATGTGGTCCCTGGAAACTAGGCAGGGCCTTCAAACAAGATCCCGGCTTGGTCAAAGGCTTCAACACCCAACTTCGGATCCATCTCCACCTATGGTAGAGGAGAGAGTAGGCAAACACAGCCTGTGGGGGGAAAAGGACGGACACCACAGGTGACGCCCCATCTGGGACCCGGAAGCCCTGGGCCCACCACCTTCATAGCCAAAAGCAGCATTGAGGAAGGCACACCCAGCCCCTGGAACAGGGGGACCCTGGAGCCAGAGCCCTCCAAAGAGCCAAAGTCTCCCCAGGACCACAGGGTGTCCACCTGGCCTCCAGCTCGGGAACTGAGAGTGGCCAGAGTTCCTGTGCAGGCCCCCGACCAAGGGTCATGCCGGTCTCCTTGCCCCACCCCCCACCCAGCGGTATGGGAAGCTGAGATGCTGACTCCCTAGAAAGGAGCCGGCCAACTAGAACAAAGTCTCATCAGAGATGGAAGGTCCTCAGGAGCCAGCGCCTGAGCAGAAGGCCCCTCCACAGCCTCTCTGCCCTGAAGCCAACAAACCCCTGTTCATCAGAGCTCCTGGGCAGCCCTTCCTATGGCAGGCCGATTCTGCCAGCGGGAGCACTTGGACATCATGCCTCAGGCCTGCTTCCTGTGTGTGGGAGGTGTGTGTGTATGTGTATGTGTGTGCATGTGTGTGTGTGTATGTGTATGGGTGTGTGTGTGTGTGTGTGTGTATGGGTCTGTGTGTATATGTGTATGTGTATGTATGTGTGTATGTGAATGTGTGTATGTGTGGGTGTGTATGTGTATATGTGTGTGTATGGGTGTGTATGGGTGTGGGTGTATGTGTATGGTTGTGTGTTTGGTATGTGTGTATATGTGTGTGTGTATGTGTGTGCGTGTATGTGTATGGGTGTTTGTGGGTGTGTGCATGTGTGTATATGGGTATGGGGGTGTGTGTGTGTGTATGGGGGGTGTGTATGGGGGTGTATGTGCATGTATGTGGGTATGGGTGTGTTCACATGCATATGCAGTCAAGCCCATTGTCATTCAAAGATGGGGTGTCTCTAGGTGATCTAGGGGAACTCTGCTTGAATGCTGCCTCCCATACCTGTATATCCTGTCCTCCCTCCCTGCCCCAGCTTAGTGCCCTCAGAATCTTCTAGCACAGACTGGAGTAAGCACTGTGCATGTTAATGAACAGCCAGAGAATCACTGACTGGAATGCAAGGAATGGGGCTGAATTTAACAAACATTGACTAGTGCCTTCTCCAAGAATTTTAAGGAGAGGAGTCACATGATCAGTTTTGCGTTTGAGAAAACACCTCTCCATGCAGTGTGGAGCTCCCCATCTCCAGGGAACTGAAACTGGGAACAGGAAGGAGGAGTTGAACGTTGATGGCTCCCCGACTCCCCGGCTCCCCAGCTCCCCAGCTGTATGGACACAGCCCCGATCCCCATGGTAACAAGGTGGGCTCCCTTGCTGGTCCTGGCTTGGGCCCAGGGTCTGGACTGAGGTAACAGCAGCCCCAGAGGGCTGCACCACGTGTCCTGAGCAGCTGTTCCATCAACGTTCAGTTCCTAGATACAGGAGCCAGGGGATCTGATAGCAGTGGCCACACCACCAGTGCCTGGGCCTGGGCAAGCAGTGGCCAGTGGGAACAGATCATGAGCCCCGTTGAGGTGGCAGAGAAACCAGGATGTGGCTGCTGGAACACAGTGCCTAGCTGGGAGCGGGTGCCGGCAGGAGGAAGGGGTGCAGGTGACTCCCAGGTTTCTGGTGTAGGCAGCTGGGCAGATGCCGGTACCTCAGAAGGGGCCAGAGCAAGTTTTGGGGTGGGAGGATTAATGAGCTATAGGTTTCTAGGTATTATGCTTGCAATGCCTGTGGACTTTCCAGAGGGACACATCTGGAAGGCTGCAGAATCCCTGGGTCTGGGGTGGAGAATCTGGGAGCCATCTGTGGCACAGGGGTGGTAACTGAGGCCTGGGATCTCATGGTCTCCCCAGTGTGTGTGGCGGGGTTAGGAGTTTTGAGAGGAGAGCAGAGAAAGGAGGGGGCACAGCCCCAACACATAAAGGTCTTTCAAAGGAAGAAGGGCAAGAGGAAGCAGGAGGAAGAAATCCCAGAAAAGTGGGGTGTCCCAGGAGCCAAACAAGGAGAGATTTAAGAAAAGGAGGGTGGGGGGCCACAGCCTTGCCACCCCCTCCAACCAGTGCCATCAGCCCTCAAGTCCCAGGTTCTGCCTTCCTCACCCCAGTATCCCCCTTCCCTGAAAAGCCCGGGGAAAGAAAAGGATGCCCAGAGCTGTGCTTTGGGAGTGGCGGGGGAGGGGGATGAGCAGGAAGGACATCAGGTGACCAACAGTAGGAAAACATACCTCCTGGGTCAAAGTCCCAAGCTTTAGAGCAAAACAAGTTGTTCCAGAAAAGGGGGACGTGGGTGGACACTTGGCTTTGAGGCTGTTCCCTCCTCCCTGGAGGTCTTCACACGGGTGGAGGGTCATCTCCCCAGCTGTATGGACAAAGCCCCGATCCCCATGGTAACAAGGTGGGCCCCTCCGCTGGTCTGGCTTGAGCCCAGGGTCTGGGCTGGTCTCAGCAACCCCACAGGGCTGCACCGTGTGTCCTGAGCAGCTGTTCCATCAACGTTCAGTTCCTCCTTCCTGTTCCAGTCCAGCTGTCACCCAGAACCATCAGGCCCCTAAGACAAGCACTCCGTCCAGCTAGACCTTACGCCATCATGCCTTCAGAAAAGCCAGAGAGGATCTGGACTGTTTCCAGGAGTCTCCTTCCTTCCAACCCCATCTTGTCAGCCATTCCATTTACTGCCAGCAGGTGGCAGTGTCTAGCTCCAATCCCAGACTGAGGAGGACAGGGAGCCAGTTTGCCGCTGAAGATTCTGCAACTTCCCCTCCCTCCAGCCCCTACTTTTGCCCCACTCCAGGGTAGTCTGAAGAAAGGGACAGTGGACATTTACATGCAAATAGTCATGGGTGCTGGGAACAGCGTACATGGCGTGCTCAGGGCTTTGACGTAGGGCAGCGTGGTGGACTACATTGTTAAGGAAGGCATCCTGGAGGAGGCGATGCTGGCAAAGAAGTTAGCCAGAGTGTTGTACTAGGCAGACAGCCTGGGGAGAGGAATCCAGGCAGAGCTCAGCCTGAGAAAAGTACAAAGAACATTCTAGAAGGGCGTTTAGGACACAAAGATAAAAGTTTTCTTTACTCTTTATTTATTTAGAGATGGTTTCTCACTGTCACCCAGGCTGGAGTACAGTGGCACAGTGTTGGCTCACTGCAACCTCTGCCTCCCAGGTTCAAATGATTCTCCTGCCTCAGCCTCCTAAATTAGCTGATCACAGGCCCAGCTAACTTTCGTATTTTTAGTAGAGATGGGGTTTCGCTACGTGGGCCAAGGTGGTCTTGAACTCCTGACCTCGTGATCCTCCTGCCTCGGCCTCCCAAAGTGCTGGGATTACAGGCATGAACTACCGCATCCAGCTCTTTACTCATTCTTATAATACTTCATTTTGTTAATATCATTGTTGTAAGCCAGAGAGCTCCTGGAGACCTGTTTTATTCTTTCAAACATACCTTGCTTAACCCCTTTTATGGCATTCATTGGCCCTTAAAATAATATGCAAACTTCTTTGCATGGGTTTGAGGGCCCAGACAATCTTCCCTTACCCCCCTCTCCAGCCTAGTCTGGCCCCGGAGCCACCTGTCACTTCCTAACAAAATCCAAGCACTTTCCCACATCAGAGCCTCCTCTCCACTTGCTCCTTTTTCTGACTGGAACACTCTTCCACTCCAATTTGCCCAGCAAACTGATCTTCCTTTACATCCCTTTCTCCAAGAAGACTTCTTTACTGTCCTTCTCTCCCATCTGAAGTCACTCCCTTCTACCAGTCTCCTTTGCTCATCTCCTCACAGCCATGATCACAAGTTGCAATTACATACTGATTTGTATGTTTATTCATTTAATATCTGTCTCATTTAACATTAAATTAATATTTAATATGGAGGGAAGGTATTATGTCTATCTCTGCCCCACCATCCAGTACTGAGCACAGTCCCTGAGTGCACACTTGACACATTTTAAAAGTTAAATCTCAGTATATGCAGTGCCTGCCACTGGCCTGACAAAGAGCAGAAGCTCAGAGAAGGATTGTTCAATAACTAAAACATTTTAGCTGTAGCTGAGTCCTTGTCTCTCTCCACTGTCTCTCTGTGTGCAAGGATTGTGTTTGATTCATCTCTGTATATGAAGAAGACATGGTCACCATTCCTCTGACAGTTGGAGCTGTTCAGCCTGAAATGAGGGTGTCCCGGAAGGTGAGCTCTCCATCCCTAGAGATGTAAGAGCAGAGGCCATGGACCAGGTCACCCAAAAAGGTGTCTGCAAAAGGAGTTTGTCTTAGTCTATTTGTACCACTGTAATGAAATACCTTGGACTGGGTAATTTACAAAGAACAGAAATTTACTTTCTGACAGTTCTGGAGGCAGGGAAGTCCCAGATCAAGGCACCAGCAGACTTGGCATCTGGTGAGAACTGCCCTCTGCTTCCAAGATGACACATCTTGCTGTGCCTGCCTTCATGCGGTGAGAGGGATGGAAGGGTTAAGGGACAAGGATGCTCCCTTCAACCCTGTTTTTGAGAACACTAACCCATTCACAGGGGTGAAGTCCTCCTGACCTAACCCCTTTCCAAGAGGTCCCAGCTCTCAATATCATCACCTTGGGGTATAAGTTTTAACAGATGAATTTTAGAGGGACATACACTGAAACTATAGCAGGGTTCTAGCCCTTCCATTTCTGGAGCCTGTGATCCTGTGATTCGGTTAACAGGCTATGATAAGTTTTCATATTTTAATAAGGTTCCAAGGAAGCAGGCTGGTTAGGACTGTGGTGAGCCCCTCCTCTCTCAGACTTAGGACTTCATTCCCCTAGCTCCCCTTCATGTAGCACTCCCTCCCCAGAGCGCCATGGACAGAACTCTAACTCATGAACATAGACAGGGAAAACATCACATCTGTATTTCACTAACCTCTAACTTAAATTTACCATTTTTGGCCAGGTGCAGTGGCTCCCGCCTGTAATCTCAGCACTTTGGAAGGCTGACTTGGGCAGATCACCTGAGGTCAGGAGTTCGAAACCAGCCTGGCCAACATAGTAAAACCCTCTCTCTACTAAAAATACAAAAATTAGCCGGACATGGTGGTGGGCGCTATATTCTCCTGTCTCAGCCTCCTGAGTAGCTTGTAATCCCAGCTACTCAGGAGGCTGAGACAGGAAAATTGCCTGAACCCAGGAGGCAGAGGTTACAGTGAGCTGAGATTGCACTATTGCACTCCAGCCTGGGCGCCAAG